CTCTGGCCCCTATAATGGTGGAAGCCTATACATGGCCAAACCACAAAATAAAGGCAGCTAGAGCGGTTCCAGCAGCAGCAGTAGCAGTATCTATGCCAGTGACAGAAGGTTTTAATTACTGCCAGGAAACAAAGCTTAGCAGAAGAGGAGAGCCAGGGTGGTGACAGGGAAACTACAGGTTACAGCAGATTGGTCAATTCAACGAGACACAGTGGTGGCAGGGCTTAGCTGCTTACAAAGAAGCCATATTCTAGACAACATTCATGTGTATGGGGGAAAAAAAAAACCTTGAGGACTGTATTTGTGACTAATTGTATGACAGGTTACTTTAGTTTTAGTTCTGTGGAAAGTATAAAGCATTCCAATGAAGTTTTTTTTTTTTGGTGGGGGTGGGGGGGCAGTACTCACTGAGTACAGGGTCTCACTGAGTTGCTTAGTGCTTCGCTTTTGCTAGGGCTGGCTTTGAACTTGAAATCCTCCTGCCTCAGCCTCCTGAGCCATGGGGATTACAGATGTGTGCCACCACACCCAGCACAAAAGCTTTTAATAAAGATTATTTTGGCACCCATACTGTTGATTGCTAAATATAATATTGTGATCCTGACACTGAATAAATGTATCTCTTTAAAAAAAAATTCCAGCTGGGCATTGTAGCACACACCTATAATCCCAGAAGCTGGGGAAGCTGAGGCAGGAGTTCAAAGCCAGCCTCAGAAACTTAGCGAAACTCTTGTCTCAAAATAAAAAATAAAAAGGGCTGGGGATGTAGCTCAGTGTTAAGTGCCCCTGAGTTCAATGCCTATTACCAAAACCAAAAGAAAACAACAAAAATAAAAACAAACAACAATGACAACAAAAATCCACTCCAAAATCCTATTCTTTAGGTATTATCATCATCCCCACTTTATAGACAAGTAAACTGAGAAAGATAAGTGTTAAGTAAATTGTTCCTGAGTCTGTGCTGATAACCATTATAGTATACTCTCTCATGCTTGATTCACAAAAGACTTTTTTTCCAGTGCTGGGGATGGAACCCAGGGCCTCACACAGGCCAGGCAAGCATTCTACCATTGAGCCACATCCCCAGTCCAAAAAATGTCTTTAAAAATAGTCAATGGCACAGGGGAGGTTCTAACCTTAGAATTTGGAAATGAAAAAGTAAATGACCCTGGTTAATGATGCAGACAACTCTGGGTTTGAGTTTGGGCAATTTATTTAACACTCTTTGGGCCTTGTTTTGTTCATCTATAAAATGAAAGTACAGATACCTATCTCATGGTGCTGTTATAAGGTATAGATAATTTATCATTAAAGGTTTAATACTGTGACTGGCATATCATCAGGATGCCCAATGCATACCAGCTGAGAAATGCAACATTACTAGTCCTCCTGGCACAGCCCTGCAAGCTCATCTCCTGCTGGGACGAAGTGGGTATGGCTCCTATGACTTAGTCCTGTTATATCAAGGTCAGATGGTGGCTGTGACTGGTCTTCCTCCCCCTTCCTTCCCTCCCTCTTTATTTTCCTTTTTTATTAACAGAAGCAGCCAGAAACATGTGGGTTTTCTTCTCATTGGTTGAAACTGGTGTTGCCTTGGCAGCATTTGTAAACATTCCGGCTCTGAATCTTGGGGGAAAAGCTGCTGAGAAATTCCTTCTGAGACTTTCCCTGCTTCTGCTGCTACTGCTTCAAACAAAGATCTGTTCACTCAGGTATGGGGATTCTTAAGGGGTGGGAGATTCCATGAAAAGGATCTGCAATGATTTTTCCTTACTTATCACCCAGACCTCAAACTTGACCGTGCCCCCATTTCTTCCCACCCATCCTGCTCACCTAGCCTCTTATTAGAAAGGGAAGGGGGGAAAAAGAACTAGAAGAAGCCAGTTGGAGGGATGGTCAAGAATGATATACAGATGTGTGAGGATAAAACCTGAGCTTCTGGGCTGGGGATGTGGCTCAAGCGGTAGCGCGCTCTCCTGGCATGCGTGCGGCCCGGGTTCGATCCTCAGCACCACATACAAAACAAAGATGTTGTGTCCGCCAATAACTAAAAAATAAATATTAAAATTCTCTGTCTCTCTCTCTCCCTCTTTCACTCTCTCTTTAAAAAAAAAAAAAAAAAAAAACCTGAGCTTCTTTCTGAGCCCTGCTCCCCAACTGCCCCCTTCTGCTGGGGCATATGGCTTCCTGGAGAAGATCTTAAGGTGATCCTTCCATGTTTAAAGCCCCTAGCTCATTTGCTTGGTGTTGGAGATCACAGATTTGGTTTCTAATCAATCCCTTAAGAGACAATTTACTGAAAGCTAAGTCACCAAATGACCAATTCTCTCAAGGATCAAGATGCTCTAACTCACCAAAGCCTATTGAACTGAAAAAAATTACAAAACCTTTTGGGTGGTTGTCTTTAGCCACAGAATTGATGGCAAATTCCTTTGGCCAAATGGGCATGGCCCAAGGACCAAGGTAAGCCAGTTCTCCAGTGTTGAGGGCTTTCAGATCCCCTTCACACCCATCTTTTAGCCTCTGCCAGTTTTGGAATAGGCAGCCTGGAAAGATTTTATTTCCTTCAGCAAATGATCTTGTCTACCCTCCAGCTACAGTAAGAAGGAATTGGGACAGAGGTATAATGAGCTTAATGGGCTAATATCAAGGTCTAAATGAACACAGGTCAATATTATGATAGGAATATGTAAAGGCTGTTCAAATTATTTTTGGTTGATGGCCATGGGAACCAGTTTGCCTTGTACAGTATCCACCACCCCCTATGACCAACAATGATGTTAAGAAAGGCAACAAGGAGTTGCCCCTCATGAAGGAGGTTCACAGGAGAATGGGTACATTCTGGATGCCAGATGAAAATGTGAGGACAAGGCCCCACCACCCTTTCTGAATCCTGGAGAGAGAAGAGTAGTGTAGTTAATAGCACTGGCTATGGAGCCAGACAGGCTTGGTCTCCTCATTTCTACATGGTAACAAGAGTCCCTCTGTTTATGTCTCAGCATCTCTATAGGAAACTGTTGGCATATTAAAATTAGAATAATTGGTAAGGGGGATATATACAAAGATGTAACTAGAGTACAGGGAAACAAGGGAACATTTTATTTCTCCAGCGCCAGTGATAGTGGGATCCAGTGGGGGTTGATGGGAAAAAATGATTACTCTTACCAAACCAAGAGGTTGTGTGAGACACTGGCCCTAGGTGAAGCTGGAACCTTGTCCAGGAAGTCAGCCACAGGTGACCCTATAGGGGGAGAGCCATCAGGGGATATATAACTTCCACCTCATCCTCCTTCCCTCAGCTTGGTCTTGTGTGGAAACTTCTGGACACCAGAGGGCAATAGAGAGCCTATTTGTGTGATCAGCTTTCCAGGACAGTGATCAGGGAGAGATGGGAAAGGGGAGTGAGTGGATCTGGAAGGGCAAATGGGAGGTATCCAGTGGCTAATATCATAGCCCTGGGGTAACAGCTAAATGAAATGTGGCACATCAATCACCCCCACACTGGAAACTATTATTTACAGAAAAAGTAAATAGCTCCATTTGGAGAGAGACATCTGCTATCATGCAGAACTCCAATATAAGAAATTACCTGCAAGGATTTATAAGTGTGTTGAAAAGAAGTGATTTCTCAGAAGTGAAGAGACTTAAGCAGTAGTACAGAAAGAAAGAGAATCCAAGACTTGAGGAAAAAATATTCAAAGACTAAAAATGTGCCAAGATACCTCTGTGACAGATGAATGTCCATAGCCCTGATAACGCCAATAACATTCTCAAAAGATGTTGATGGCATTTGGAAAACTTTATAATTTTCTTTATAGAATAGGAGCAAATTTTTTTCTTGATGTGGTAAATATCAAATCATATGTGTTATCCTTAATAGTGTAACACCAAAAAACATGCCTACTGAATTCAGAAACAAAAGAAGATTGCTCATTATCTCCATTTCCATTTAACATTGTTTTTTTCTGGAAGTGTCAAAGCTAATACCCATAAAGATATATTTTTCAGGAAAATATATAGTAAAAATGATAATTTCTTGGAGATGGTCTAATTATATGCCTGAAAAGTCCAAGAGGGAAAAAAAAAAAAAAAAAACAGAGTCACCAACCCGCCCTCTGCTGCCTTGACTTTTAATTGACCCCTGTTTGTGTGTGTGTGGTGCTGGAGATGGAACCCAGGGCCTTGCACAAGGTAGATAGGCAAGTGCTCTACCAGTGAGCTACACCCCCAGCTTGTGAATTCATTATCTTAAAAGAGCCTGTACCCCAGTTGCTCAGAGCAGGGATTGAGGTACTTTTAAAGAATCAATAAGAAATTATTATTTGGACTTCTAGAACTCTAAAGAAGTTAAGAATCATTTTATTACTTTTTTTTAAGTACTAGGGATTGAACATTGAACCCAGGGGTGCTTTACAACTGAGCTACACTCCCAGTCCTTTTTATTTTTTAAAATTTGAGACAGGGTCTCGTTAAGTTGCTGAGGCTGGCCTCAAACTTGTAATTCTCTTACCTCAGCCTCCCAAGGTACTGGGATTATAGGTGTGTGCCACTATGTCCAGTTCTACACATTTTGATGTAAGTCTTCATGGCTTTAAGAATGTGGAAATCCTTGATTTTCAGGAAAATTAGAACCCAGCAGCTAGGTACAAAGTCAAGAAGAGTGAGGTCTCACTCCTACCCCTAACTCCCAATATTCTTCCTAGGGACAACGGCTATTACCTGTGTCATGATTCTTCAAGAGATAGTCTATATTTACTTGAGTGCAACTTCTTTTTTTTTTAAAGAAAGAAAGAGAGAGAGAGAGAGAGAGAGAGAGAGAGAGAGAGAGAATTTTTTAATATTTATTTTTTAGTTTTCGGCAGACACAACATCTTTATTTTATGTGGTGCTGAGGATCAAACCCAGCGACAAGTGCATGCCAGGCGAGCGCGCTACCGCTTGAGCCACATCCCCAGCCCCAGAGAGTAACTTCTTGAGTGTCTTTATCCAGGCAAAAGAAAATGGATGCATCTGAAATACCCAAAAGTCGGAAGGTAATGTTTTTGGGTAAGGATTCTGAAACCAATGCAACAACGTCTATGATGACAGCAATGATGGAGGACACACAAGACAAGAGAAATGTGACCGAAGTAGCTCTGGCTCTGGTTGAGGATGCCATCGCTGTTGCCGTTCAGTTTGTGGAAGGTAATAATCCTGTTTGGTTGCCTGAAGAATTGTTTCATGGCAACTACCAGGCAACTAACAAATCCATGCCTTGTTTGCAGAAGCTAGAAACCCCATCAAAAACATCAAGTGGATTACTCATGGTGAATTCACAGTAGAAAAAGGCCGTAAACAAATTGAGAAGTTTGTTTTGGTAAGTTAGTTAAAAGGGCCCTTGTTTGATCAAAAGTTTGAGGTCCAGAAAACCTAGGTAATGACATCAAAGGTGACTAGATTAAGTAAGCATTGTCTCCATCTGGGTTCCAAAATCAAGGTGGGTTAGTCTTTGAAGGTAAAAAGCTTAATCATATTGCTCTGTGTTTGTATCATCTTAACTTGATATTGCCCTAGAGGGAAAAAAAAGACAACTAGCATTTCCCATTAAGCAAATTGTTCCTGCTATTGCATTCAGTGGGGGTCCAGTGGCTCCCAACTTCACTATGCTCATACTAAAAGAGTGGATGTGAGTGGATCAAGTGCATTTTTGTATGTGTGATGCTAGGGATATAACCTAGGGCTTCGCTCATTCAAAGCACACACTCCACCACTGAGCTACATCCACATCCCCAGGAACAAGTGTCTTTTTGCTACAGCTTTGGAATGTATTGCCCAGATGGTAAGATGTACATGTCCATCAGTTCCCCCTCCCCACTTGTGTCCAGCTCTGATCCCTCTATGTCTTTTCCTGGCAGATTTCAGAGGAAGATCTTGGGTTGCTTTGCTTAATTGGCAGGTACCTAAAGAAATAAGGCTTGAAATCTCTCGTTGTACTTCCACAGAGGAGAAACCATTTGAAACTGATGGAGGTGAACTCACCTATTCCTAAGACAAGTTTCCAGCTGTGTTGTTCCTCTGGCCAGGCCATTAGACTACATTCTTTGGAGCAGTTTCCTAGGCCCTAGAGAGACCCTGGTCAGGTGGTTCTGAGGAAAGGACAGGCATTTCTGGTTCTATACTCTCCCTCTGTGCTCCAGTAGCACCTCTCACTGTTCTCATCAAGAGGGGTAGAGCATGGTGAGGAGGAATGAAGTATTAGTTACTCTGGGGCCTTCCTGCTCTACAACATGTCTCCATTTGAGGTTGGGCAAAGACCTCTGTCTGTTGCAGTCAGGGCTCCTAAATCAGACTGGAGTGGGACAGAGAAAGCAGGTGAACTTTCTTTTGGAACTCACACTGGCCATTCTGATTAAAGGCAAAGTGAGGGCTGGGGTTGTGGCTCAGTGGTAGAGCACTTGCCTAGCATATGTGAGGCACTGGGTTTGATTCTCAGCACCACAAATAAATAAAAAATAAAGTTATTTTTTAAAAAAGGGAAAGTGAGTTCTGATGATGGCCTAAAAGATATAAAGTTATCCAAACCCCTGCTCCTTTCTCACCACTTATGAGTCTGACTCCATCGGCAACTACCTTCTCCCTTTTTATTTTCCCCACTTCAGCCTCCCACCTCCTTGCTGTTTTTTAATTTCCAGGTATGTTCTTGCCCTGATCTTTGCATTCACTGTCTGCTCTGCCTGGAACTCTCTCAAGATATATTTTCATGGCTCACTGCTTTACCTCTCTTTAGATCTTTGTTAAAATGCCACGTGTTCATCAAGGCCTTTCCTGGCCACTTCACTGAGAATTGCAATCTTCTCCCTTTCTCTGATTCATTCCTCTCTCAGCACTTATCTCTACCAGAGACCATCAGATAATATGGACAATGAAGGCTGAGATCACTGCTGTCCCTGGCCCTAGCAACATCAGCTACACAGTGGATGCTCAATAAATCTGTGTTGAATATATGAGTGGATTTATTATCTCATTACCATTATTTCTTCATAGATGAAAAGCCAGGGGTCAAAATATTTGTCTCAACTACTTTGAGGCCTATTGTGAGGATAGAGTCAATTAGAAAGAAGATGACTAAAAAGCTAAAAGCTCTATATAACTCATGATAAAAAAGAACCTTGTTCCCGGCTCCACTAATACAGTGAACCTGAGAAGTGAGGTCTACTATCTAGGTGCCAGGCATTTCTTTCTTCTTCTTCTCCGTCTCCGTCTCCTTCTACTTCTCCTCCTTTTTCCTCCTCCTCCTCATCCCCCTCCTTTTTTTTTTTTTTTGTATGTGGATTGAACCCAGGTGCTTAACCACTGAGCCAAATCCCCAGCCCTTTTTATTTTTTTAATTTCAAGACAGGGTCTTGCTAAATTGCTTAGGGCCTCACTAAGTTGCAGAGGCTGGCTTTGAACTTGCAATCCTTTTGCCTCAGCCTCCCATGCCACTGGGATTACAGGCATGCACCACTATGCCTGGCAGTGCCAGGCATTTCTTTTTTTAATTTAAAAAAAAATTGATCTTTTTAGTTATACATGACAGTAGAGTGTATTTTAACATATCATACATACATGGAGTACAACTTCCCATTCTTGTGGTTGTACATGATGTGGAGTTACACTGGTCTGATTCATTCTACTTTCTTTTCCATTCCTGTCCCCCCTCGCTTCCCCCACTCTGCCCTGTCCAATCTGGTGAACCTTCCCTTCTCCCCCCACCCCACTGTAAGTCAGCATCGGCATCAGAGAGAACATTCTGGCTTGGGTTTTTGGGGACTGGCTTATTTCACTTAGCATGATAGTCTCCGGGTCCATCCATTTACCAAATGCAAGGCATTTCTTTTTTTTTTTTTTTAATAGACCTTTACTTTTATTTATTTATATGTGGTGCTCAGAATCGAACTCAGGGCCTCACACGTGCTAGGCAAGCACTTTACCACTGAGCTACAACCCCAGCCCCCAAATGCAAGGCATTTCTGATGGTGAGTTTTCTTAAGCTTATTGTCAGTTTCTCAGAGTTTACCACATAATAGGGGATGGTCAATTAGGTGATGATCATTTGCTAACCATTGCTATGTGCCAAGCACTCCAAGCACTTCACCATGTATTATCTCATTTAGTCCTCACAACAAACCTGTACATACGTATATCAATGACCATTTTATAGATGAGGAAATGTGAGGTATCTGCATTCCTTTCTATTTTTTAAAAAAAATATTTTTAGTTGTAGATGGACACAATACCTTTAGTTTTTTATGTGGTATTGGGGACCGAACCCACTGCCTCATGCATGCTAGGCAAGCATTCTACCACTGAGCCACAACCCAAGCCCTGCAGTCCTTCTTATTTTGAGACAGGATCTTGCTAAGTTGCTGAGGCTGGCCTCAAACATGTGATCTTCCTGCCTCAACCTCCTGAGTTGAGTTACTGGGATTACAGCCCTGTGCCATCTCATTTACTAATTGTCTGATATATTCTTTTGTTGTTTGCTTGTTTATTTGTTTTTGTGGTGCTGGGGACCAAATCCAGGGCCTTGTACATGCCAGGCAAGTGCACTATCACTAAACTACACCCACAGCCCCCATCTAATATATTCTTTCTACCCTAATAATAAAATTATTTTTGATGACAATAGTTTTATCATCAATGAAAATCCCTAAAATGCAAATTCAAAAGATTTCAAGGTGTTGCAATGTGAATAAGAATGATTAGACCTGGTATCAGAAAGCTTGTGCATTTGTGGGGGTAGGGATAGTATACTCATATATTGCCAGTGAGCACAACGATTTATTTATTCTTTTCAGAAACATAATCTGGCAATGAGAATATACAAGTGTGTGTGTGTGTGTGACAGATATCACTAAGTTGCTGAGGCTGACCTCAAACTTGCAATCCTCCTGACTCAGACTCCTGAGTAGTTGGGATTACGAGCATGTGCTACCACTCCTAGCTTTACAAGTGGGTTCTCTTTTATTATTATTATTATTAGTTATTGATGGACCTTTATTTATTTGTTTATATGTGGTGCTGAGAATTGAACCCAGTGCCTCACACGTGCTTGGCAAGTGCTCTACCACTGAGCCACAACCCTAGCCCCACAAATGGGTTCTTTTTTTTTACATTAGTCTTTTTTTAAATTTATTTTTTAGTTTTAAGTGGACACAATATCTTTATTTTACATTTATATGGTGCTGAGGATAGAACCCAGTGCCTCAAGCATGCTAGGCAAGCACTCTACCATTGAGCCACAACCCCAGCCCCCAAGTGGGCTGTTTATTAAAAAAATAGAAAATTCCCATCATCTAATACAGTTCTTTTTATAAATAAAAATAAGACATTATTTTCAAAACCCAGTGAACAAAAAGACACAAAGTAGAAAATGAAAGCTTCCCCTCCACTGCCAGGATGCCCAGTTCTATTCTCCCAAAGGTCATTTACTATAGATAACAGTTTTGTGCATGTAATTCCAGATGCCTGTTGGTTTTGTGGGTCCAATAATAAGTAAATGACTAAGCCATCCATGGTAGAGTGACACAGTGACATACTGTTTCCTGGAAGTGAGTATATGAAGTGGTATTATATAAACATTACAAAACATAAGGATAACATACACATTCACTGGAAGTACATAAAAATCAGAGCCCTAGGGGTCTGGTGATATAGCTCAATTGGTAGAGTGCTTGCCTTGCATGCACAAGGCCCTGGGTTCAATCCCCAGCACCACCCCCCAAAAAACAAAACAAAACAAAAAACAGGGGCCTGCATAATGATAAAAATGGGAAGAGACTGGCCTAATGGGAATAGTTGAATTTAATGTCAATCTAAGGCTGCCTTAGTTCATGAAAGGGAAAAAATACACAAAGAGCCAAGCTCAGAAGAAGAACTCTTAAAATTGAAGCATCTGGTGGGGTGGAAAAAAACACTGAGCTGGCTGCTTTGATCCCTGGGTACCATCCAGGTGTCATGTTAGAATGTCTCTACTCAAGGACCCAGAATTCTCATCTGCAATGTAAGGGGCTTTGTTAGATTATCTCTAGGGACCATTCCAGTGCTATGAAGTCTGTAATTGTGTGAAAGATTAAATTTTAGAGCTAAAAACATATATTAAGTAATATAAAAAGGTTAAGGGGAAATAAGTTAAGCTTCACTGGGCTACAAGGGGTTGACTGTTGGGCTTCTTCATGAAAAGGCATGATATATCAGGAGGCTGAGGCACGAAGCAACTCAGTGAGACCCTGCCTCTAAATAAAATACAAAGTAGGGTTGGGGATGTGGCTCAGTGGTTGAGCAGCCCTGAGTTCAATCCCTGGTACCAAACAAAAAAGGATGATATATGAAAGAAGACACAGTTTCTGATCTCAAGAAATCTAGATTCCCATGGTTCTCTCTGGCCAACTAGATATGAGTTGGAAACAAACCAAAGCAGATCAGCCTACTTTTTACAAAAGAGGGCCTGAAATCTTTTTGCCATCTGCTTCCCCACATTCCTTTCCCATATCACTGGGATTGTTAGATATCCTGCTTCCTAGTTACATTTGTTCTTTGATTCAGAAGCTTCCTGTACCTCAGTAGCCCAAGGGGATTCAGTTGGAATTTTTGTTGTTGTTGTTGTTTTGTGGCCCTGGTAATGGACAGGGCCTCTTACATGCTATGCAACTGCTCTACCACTGAGCTACATCCCCAGCCTGAATTTAACTTTTGGAATATCTATTACATTCAGGTCCTGTGCTAAGAATCAGGGCTGCATTATGATTTCTATGCACTATTCTCCCATATATACACTATACTTTTTTAAATGGCATCCTGCCACATTGCCCAAACTGGTCTTGAACTCCTGGACTCAAGCAACCCTCCTGAGTCATCCTCCAGTCCAGGCTGCCCTCTTCCTTTTGTGGGATCCTTTCTCAAATTTTTAGTTTAAGACAACATCATTATAAAGATGACATCGGCCCTAAAAGTTCATTTCTTTCTTCTCACTTTATTTTTATTTATTATTTTTTGGGGTATTAGAGATTGAATTTGGGGTACTTAACCAGTAAGTCACATCCTCAGCCCCCCCTTTTTATTTTGGTACCAGGGATTGAACTCAGGGGCAGTCAATCACTGAGCCACATCCCCAGCCCTATTTTGTATTTTATTTAGAGACAGGGTCTCACTGAGTTGCTTAGCACCTCACTTTTGCTGAGGCTGACTTTGAACTCATGATCCTCTTGCCTCAGCTTCCCGAGCAGCTGGGATTACAGGTGTGTGCCACTGTGCCCGTCTAGCCCCTTTCATTTTTCATTTTGAGACAAGGTTTAAGTTGCTTAGGGCCTTGCTAAGTTGCTGAGGTTGGTCTTGAGCTGTGGTCCTCCTGCCTCAGCCTTCCGAGTCGCTGGGATTACAGGCATGCACCACTGTGCCCATTTCTTCTGATTTTAAAAGAAAAAAAGTTTTGTGGGCTTTCAATGTATTGTGGGCCCAAGATGCTATGCCCATTATGTATTATGGATAATTTAATCCTGCCATAATGTTTAATATGGATACTACAGTGAACACTGCTTCTCATCACTGGAGTACAGAGGGGAGTGTCAAATGCAATAAGAGAGGCAGAAAACAGATCCTATGAGTGTTAGATATTCTAAGGTCTTCTGTTTATTGACTCCACTAGTGCTTTGGAAAGGAGAAGCTTTTCCTATGGTGCAAACAGCATCATCCCTTTCTGAGGGATATGGATTATCCTATTGCCTGACTTCTTCTGCTCTTATTTTATAAACCATCTCTAGCTGTGATCAAGGAGCCTCATTCCTTTCTAGTCACACCTGTAGGTCTCCTGAGATGGGGCAAGCAGAACACGTGTTCTAATCACTCTTTAATTATTTTCCAATTAACCACAATTCCAATTACACACCCAAGTAAGGGTGTGGAGCAGCCTGTGGCTGTGTATATGTACACGTACACTTCAGAGGGTGTGCCCCTCCAGTCTAAAGCCCAATTTCAAGTGATATGTGCATTATTTTTTTTATTTCATTTCAGCTTCACCTTTTCACACCCCCACTGTGGAGATAACTGAGAGTTGATTCTAGTTTGACTCCCAATAAAAAAAAATGCAAGGACTCCGGAACAGGGCTGCAACCCTGACTGTTATGCACTGCTTTTATCAAAAGTGCTTGAGTAGAAGTCTGCCTTTCTTTGTCTGTGAGCTTTCTTTTTTCTATGAAGCAGACTTGGGAGTACCAAAGCCGCTGGGTGCACCACACAGAGTTTATAAAGAAGGAAGAGCTAAGTCACACCTTCCGCTATATCTACTGCGTGCGTTGGAGCATCCCAACAGCTCAGGTACCCATGCCGCGAGTCAGTGCCACTGCCTACTTCACCATCAAGATCAACAAAAGCAAACCTCCGGTAAGCTCTTCCTTTGATGCTCTGTTCCCCACAGTGAAGCTTCAAGGAGAATGGAGATGTCTTTAGTCAAATTTATCAATGATGCCCTCTTTGCAAAATTTAATTATCATATTTCTGTCCTCATCTTACTTGGCCCATCTGCAGCACTTGTCCTACCTGATTATTCCCTCCTCCATGAAACTTCCCACTTGGTTTCTAGAAGAATACACTCTTCTGGTTTTCATCCTGCTTCACTGACCATACATTCTCTATCAGTCTCCATTGCTATCTCTGCCTCACACCAACTTCTACATGTAATGTGTTCCAAAACTCAAGTCTTAAATCCCTTTCCTTTACTCACTTCCATAGTTATCTCGATCAGTCTTGAAAAATGTCACCAAGAGCTTGTGGTTCCCAAATTTACAGCTCAAGTCCAGATCTCTCCCACTTGGAGGTATAATAAATATTTCATTTATTGTGTTTAAAATTAAACTTTCAATTTTCCATTCCAAATCTGAGCTACATACAGTCTTCCTTGTCTCAGCTGATAGCCAAATTCTTGGTGTCATCCTTGACCCTTTCTTTTCTCTCACACTCCTCAACCAATCCATTAAGAAATCCAGCTGACTCTACCTTCAAAAACATACCCAGCGCCCCACAATTTCATACCAGTCCATTTGTACCACCCTCTTCCAAGACACCATCCTCTTGCACCAAGATTATTTCAACAGCTTCCAAACCAGTCTCTCTGCTTCTGTCCTTGCCATCAATGTGCCTCTTTTCTATATAGCAATCAGCCAGTGAACCTCATCAAGTGAATTTCTGTCACTCCTCTGTTTAAAACTTTCCAAAAGTGCTTTTCCAATTCTAAAGCACATACAAAGTACTTGGTAATATGGAGATTCTGATTCAGCAGGTCAGGGGTAAAACTTGGGATTCTGCATCACTAACAAGTCTCCAGGCAGTGCTCACACTGCAGGTCCAGAGACTTATATTTGCATATCAAATGGCTACAAGGCCTTGTGTGATCTGGTCCCTTGTTTTATCTGCTTTCCCACTACCCCTTCCACTAACTTACTCTGTTCCAACCCCTCTGATCTTGCTGCTTCTCAAGTAAGCCAGGTATAGTCCTGCCTCATGGACTCTGCACTTGCTGTGCCATTTGACTAGAATACTCTCCTCTACCTACATGCATTGTGTAGTTGTCTACCCCCTCACCTTCTCTCCTGCACTTTCTTTCTGTTCCATCCCATCCCCCATGCTTTTTCTTCATTACATTTTATTACCTTCAAATATTCTGTATCATCAATTATTTTGTTCTTGTCTGTTCCACTAGAATGTAAGTTCTATAAGGGCAGGGATGTTTGTCTTGCTGAAAAACAAGACCTGGCCCAAAAAAAAAAAAAAAAAATATTGAAGGAATGACTGCTTGTAGCCACTAGGTAGACCACAAATAGCATGTTGACTTGAGAGTTGGTGTGAAAGGAGCCAAAATAACACCCATGATTCCAGGAGAAAGGGCCTCAGAGGAGCAGGGCTGGTACCAAGCATAATGCCTGGAACATAACAGACATGAAAAATGTTATTTTCCCTTTGTCTTCCCATCCTTTCTCAAAAGTTGCCTGAGCTCTGATCTGACTTTAAGGCTTTATATATGGATCATATCATCAGTGAGCCAACTATGTCCCCTACTCATTCTATTCCAGAACACATGTATCTTCAGCTGAAGTAATCTAAAGAGGTACAATAGATGGAGAGTTCAATTCTGGTCATATATCCCTCCATCAGTTGTCTTGCTCTGAAAGTCAGAGATTTTGAAGTAAGGCTGGTTGAAATGATCCAGACCATACGGGAGACAACATATAGATAGTCTTGGGAAGAAGGCTCTTGCTCAATATTCCAGGCATCATTCTGGAGGTCAGATTGGGAGGGGAACATTGAGACATTATGACTTATATTTCATTATGTTTTCAAACCTTGTTCATTTATATTATTTCCATCTGATGTCATTCTTCAGAGGTAGAGATTGTCAGCTGAGTAAACTGAAGCATATAAAGAAAGTAAATGAACTCCTCAGGTTCCTATTAATAAACAGCATAATCCTCTGACAACCTGTCTCCAATTTTGTGGCAATTCTTAAGATATTTTTTGCCAAAAAGATCTTTTTTTCAGATAGATTTGAAGTGACAAAGAACTACCACTTAGAGGTTCCCACTTTATAATTAGGACGAATTCTGGAAATTCAAGAGTATCTAGAGAAGAGTAGGGAGGGAATTAAGAGTTGGTATGTTCAGTCTATACTGACAGTTGTCCTTCTTTCTCTTAGGATACACCCATTGATGTCTCTTATATTTTTGAGGGCCATTCATTAGTTCTAAGGTAATGAACATTTGGAGACATATTTTGAAAGGGTGGGGAAAAGGTCATTATACTCCAGGAATCCAGAAGACCCATAGCCAGATAATTCACGTAATAGTCATTTATCTTCTTTGGACCTACCCTATTAGAATGAACTAAAACTAGAATTCTGCCATTGGTCTAGAACATCTTTTCCTTAGTGTCTGGTTTTGCAATAATTAGAAACTTGAGGGGCTGGGGATATAGCTCATTTGGTAGAGTGCTTGCCTAGAATTCACAAAGCCCTGGGTTCAATCTCCAGCACCACCAAAAAAATAATAATAATAATTAGAAACTTGAGGATTATTTGCTGGAATAGGGTGGGTAAAAAAGCCGGTCATGTCTATTGTTTCTATAAGAAACTTCAAAATTACATGGAGTTATATCATGTATTAAATAATCCCTTTATCTGTATAGTAGCTGTCTTAAAGATCTTTACATGTAAGCTCATTAATCCTTTTGTTGATTGGGTCCAAAAAACAGTAACGAATAGAGAGAACCCTGCCACCCTCTCTACTTACTCTCTCCCTGGCAAAAAAATGGCTTATTGCTCACTAGGAATATAACAGTAAATCCCTGGTTCAATTTTTTTTTAATTTTAAAAGCATTTGGTGTTTGTTTTTCTTCCTCTGTAGACCAGGAATGGCTCACTTTCGAGAAGAATGGCCAAGGGACATTATTGAGGCCAAAAATCTTTTAATGGAGTCAATCACCTTCTAAATTCAATTGTCTGAATCTTACAGAATGTTTTAGGATTGTTTAATGCCGCAGTCTGGCTGGGCACAATCAGGAGCCACTTGTCAAAAGAAACTAACTTTATTTTTAGAACCACACACGCCAAACAAAACAGCCTCTCAGGAAAAACCCTCAGAGCCTCAACTGCCACCACCGGCTTTCCACAAGCCTCTCTCTCCCACACAAGCTTCTCTCTACCTCCCACAATCCTCCTGCTCTTGAGGCCGATTGGCTGGGTCACGTGGGCGGAGCCAAAAAAGTCCCCTAATGAGCAGCTCCGTGGTCTGAAAGGGCAGGGAAACAGCCCAATGAGCATCACCGCAGAGGAGCCAATCAGCTAGATGTTGCTGGGGCCGCTGTGAGCCAATCATCAGCCGGCAGCTGGAAGTTTGCTGGCAGCTGGAAGTTTGCTGGGGCCCCTTCGGCTGTGGCTCTCAACATCTCCCCCTCTCTGTTTAAACAACAAGCATGTGGCTTAGGGACCGTGCCTGCCTTAGGTTGTCCAATAGTACATATGGTCCTTAGGTTGGTACCATTGCAATTGGATCTTACCCGTCACTGACTACCGGTCCAGTATACAGCCACACCTGTGGAGAGGTCTTTGTACCAGAGGGGGGGTGAGGTTCTTTGCCTCACCTCTGTTGGCCCCCAAATTTTAGCTGGACGATCATGACAAGCAGAAGGGAGGAAGATACACCAAGCCAATTGATGGCTCCTTTTGGAAAAATTGTACCACCAATGACATCATCAGCAAAAATACCCCAACACTACCACAAGTCGCTGCACCAACAGATAGTTCACAATGCATACAGGTGAGCTCACAATGTGTTCAGGCAAGTTCTGCAAGCAGTTCAGTGATGGCTATTGTAGAAGCTGTAGATTGGTTTTATCTTTGACTTCACCAGCACTGGGATGAAGATAGGAATTCTGGCAATAATGGCTAAAGAAAAAATTATGTAACATTCCAGAAGGCACTAAAAGAAAACAATTTTCTTAACCATTTACATTATCTTTAAGAGAATTATTAAATATAATGAAAAGGAAAGGTGAAAGTAAACAAACAGATCTGTTAACCTTCTTTTTTGTTTACATATTAAAACAATCCTCAACAGTTGTTTACCCAATTTAAATTAAACCATATAAATCACGTGAAAAAAAAATATTTGGATCCATTTTATCATGAGCGCTCATCATATATGATATATGGACATACATACATTCAAACATATAATACATACAACACATAACATTATAGTAAAGGCCTTATAACTTTTTACAGGTGAAATCTCCATTGCAATGTTTAAAAACTCTATAGTCAAAAAATAGAACTGATCAGCAAAACATTAACCTAGGTCTGTATGAGCTCAAAAAACAAAATAGAACTTCATGATATGGCAAAGGGCAATAATAAAATAGATATTGAAAAAAGCATCCTGGTTCTGTTGCAGATGTAAGAATAGCCAAATTGGAGTTTTGGATATCAGTTGTTATGGATTTGAGCCAAATCATCTTCTTTTTGGTCTGTAGAAATCGCTTTAGTTAATCTTTCTGGAATCCAAATCGGCTGCTGTTCTCCCTGTGGAAACACATAAACAGACCCCCGACTCCAGACAATCACTGGGTCAGGACCTTGGTTAATCTCTCTGGAATCCAAATCGGCTGCTGTTCTCCCTGTGGAAACACACAAACAGACCCCCGACTCCAGACAATTACTGGGTCAGGACCTTTCCATTGTCCTGTTAGAATATCCTTCCAAAGTACCTTGGGCTTATGCACATTTTTTGGACACATATGCCTTTCCGCAGCACTAAGTCCTGATGAATCCAAATTTAAAAAGTTTAGAGTAAAAAGGGTTATTTTAAGTTTATCTTTGGGGAATATATACCCCTTCCCAATTCCTTCTTTTTGCTTTAATAAATACATTTTAATAGTTTGATGAGCTCTTTCAACTATGCCTTGTCCCTGTGGATTGTATGGGATTCCTGTTATATGAGTAATGCCAAATGTTGAGCAAAATTGTTTAAAAGAGGTAGAAGAATAACCAGGGGCATTATCTGTTTTTAACTGTTTTGGAACACCCACAGTGGCAAAATTTTGTAAGCAATGAGCTATAACATCTTTAGTTTTTTCTCCGGCATGAAGGGAGCCCATCAAAAATCCAGAAGAAGTATCAACTGTAACATGCAAATATTTTAATTTTCCAAATTCTGGCAAGTGTATGACGTCCATCTGCCAAATATGGTTAGGTATCAATCCTCTAGGATTGACTCCAAGATTAACTTGTGGTAAAAAGGTCACACAATTTTGACATTGTTTTATTATTTGTCTAGCTTGTTCCTTAGTTATTTTAAAGCGCTTTTGTAAAGTATTAGCATTGACATGGAACTTTTTATGAAAATTTATAGCTTCTTCTAGTGTAGAGAAAATATGTATGTCATGTGTAGTTTTATCTGCTAAATCATTGCCCAAACTAAGGGCTCCAGGCAATCCTGTATGTGCCCTGATATGTCCTATAAAGAATGGATCTTTTCTGTCCCAGATTAGACTTTGTATAGTGGAAAGCAAAGAGAAAACAGTAGAAGAAGGGGAAATCCTACCAGCATCTTCAAGAGATACTATAGCATTAACTACATACTGACTATCAGAAAATAAATTAAATACAGAATCTTTAAACATCAAAAAAGCTTGTAAAACTGCATTAAGCTCTACCTTTTGAGCTGATTGTTTGGGTACTAAAAATGTAAAAGTTTGATCAGGGGTAACTACTGCTGCTGTACCATTATTTGACCCATCAGTGAATATATTTGGAGCATTCATGATAGGTGTTTTTCTTGTCATTTTTGGAAAAATTACAGGATGCAATGACCAAAAAGACAATAAAGGATTAGATGGTAAGTGGTTATCAAATGAAACATTAGATTTGCACATGATTATTGCCCAAGTATTTAACTCATTAGCTAACTCATCAATTTGATCCATAGTATATGGAGTAATAATTTTATTGGGAGAAATTCCAAACACTCCCTTTGCTGCTTTTATTCCTTTGAGTATTAATTGTCCTACAGCCTCAGGATACCTAGTAAGAATAGTGTTAGGAGAATAAGATAAATGTATCCACAATAATGGACCTTCTTGCCAAAATACTCCTGTAGGAATATTTTTTGTTGGTAGTACAATAAATAATAAAGGCAAACTTATATCAATTCTATCCAAATGCATATTTTCCATATATGTTTCAATAATTTTTAATGCCTTTCTTGCTTTAGGAGTTAACATGCGGGGTGAATTTGGATCTGATGGACCTTTTAGAATATCAAATAAAGGTCCCAATTCTCCTGTTGGTATACCTAGATAAGGCCTTATCCAATTTATGTCTCCCAATAACTTTTGAAAGTCGTTAAGTGATTTGAGTTGATCTACTCGTATTTGAATTTTTGGTGGACGGACCATGGTTGAGGATAATAGAACTCCTAAATAATTAATTGGAAAATTTAATTGTACTTTATCTATTGCTATCTCTAGATTATAATTTTTTAATAAGTTTGTAAGTGTGGCATAACATTCCAGCAATATGTTTTTATCTTTATGTGCCAATAATACATCATCCATATAGTGAAATATTTGTAGTTCAGGATTTTGATTTCTAAGTGGCTGGATTGCTTTGTTAACATATATTTGGCACATAGTTGGACTGTTAGCCATCCCTTGAGGGAGTACTTTCCATTCATATCTCTGATCAGGACCTTCATGATTTAATGCAGGGATAGTAAATGCAAAACGTGGACTATCCTTGGGATGAATTGGAATTGAAAAAAAACAATCTTTAATATCTATAGCTAAAACATGCCAGGTTTTTGGCAAAGCAGACAATTGAGGAATCCCTGATTGAGCAGGTCCCATAATAACCATCTCATTATTAATGGCTCTTAAATCTTGCAATAATCTCCATTTACCAGATTTCTTTTTGATGACAAAAATGGGAGTATTATGGGGAGATATGGAAGGTTGTATATGTCCTTCTGCTAATTGTTGTTTGACCAGATCATGGGCTACTTGTGTCTTTTCTTTAGTCAGGGGCCACTGAGGAACCCACACTGGTCTTTCTGATTTCCAAGTAATTTTGATTGTCTCAGTGGCCCTTTCTGAAAATCCAACCCATGTCTGTCTGTTCCTTGATCTATTTGTACTGGTGCTGCTATACCTTGCCCTTGTTTTCCTAATCTTTTTTCTTTCCTAAAGCCTTGTCTAGCCCTAGTAGTGGGCGAATTAGGATTGATGTTATTTGTTAATGTCAAACCTAATTGATCTAGGACATCTCGTCCCCATAAATTTATAGGAAGATGATCCAATACATATGGCTGTATAGTTCCTTCACATTCTTCAGGATCCTTCCAATCTAATATCATAGAACTTCTATGGGGATTAGTCGCCACTCCTAGGCCTCGAAGCGTTTGAGTGGCTTGTTGTAATGGCCAATGTTTTGGCCATTCTTGACGAGAGATGATGCTAAGGTCTGCACCTGTATCCAGTAGCCCATTAAATTCATGTCCTTGAATATTTAGTTTTAGCATGGGGCGAGAATCTAAATTTAAAGACAACATAGCCCAATCTACACCTGTGGAGCCTAATCCCCTGGAACCTCTTTCTACACTATGACTAGGAAATTTATTATGTAGGCTGGGTATTATTAACAACTGTGCTATTCTATCTCCAGGTGAAATTACTGATATACCTCTTGGAGAACTAGCTATAATTTTTATTTCACCTACATAATCGGGATCAATTACCCCAGGACTTATCATAAGTCCTTTTAATGTAGATGAACTACGTCCCAATAATAAGCCTACTGTTCCTTTGGGAAGAGGTCCTTTCACCCCTGTGGGAATGATTTGAACTCCCATCTCTGGAGTTAGTACTGCTCTGGCGGAGGCGCAGATGTCCAACCCTGCGCTCCCTCTGGTTTGTCTGATGAGGGATCTGATGGA